GTTCTCTTATGCAGGTGGTCACGGTGAGTGACAATGGACTTAATGGCACCTAACCACAATGTATCCAGAGATGGAGAGAGACGACACTTGATACTCCCGTAGAGATTTTACCTACCCTGCCCTGTAGGTTGTGTGTGAGTAAAAATCAACTAGACGGCAATGAGCTTGATTTTGGTTTCTATCAATAGTTCCCTGGTGGTGTTGTGAGTCATGCATTAGATGCTAGCTGCAAGCGCAGAGGTTCAAACTCACTAGCTTCTAGATTACCTGCTCCCATAAAACTTCAGTCTTGGAAACACAAAGGAGCGAGCAGTTCTCATCTGTCTTCGAAGGGTCCTTGTGCGTCAGAATCAACTGGATGGCAGTGGCTTTGGGTTTGGTTTATGGTAGGAATTCATATAAATGTTATAAATTCTCATAAATTAAAAAAATATTTTATCATGGTAAAAAATAGATAAAATGTTCCATTTTAAGCATGCATTTCAGTGGCATTTGATACATTCATGATAGTATACAACTTATCTCTTTCCAATATGATTTTCATCGCCCCACAAAGAAATTCTGAGCCCATTAAGCAAGCGTGTCTCATTGTTTTCTTCTCCTCACCCCCGGCCAACACAAAGCTACTGTCTGTTTCTGTGAATTAATGTTTATCCTCTTCTGACCACATTTTTTGCTTTACCTGATGTTTTAAAGCTTCATGCATGTTCCACATGAATCATAAAGTCATTCTTTTTATGGCAAGATAATGATCTATTGTATGTTTATTCATTTGTTAATGGACACTTAGGTTGTTTCTATCTTTGGACTGTTGTGAATAATCTTGCTGTGTACATTACAGTAAAAGTTCCTTTTGGATAGATATCCCTGCTTTCAGTTCCTTTGGATATATATATACATATACATTTATATATATATATATATGTGTGTGTAGAATTGGTCATATATAGTTATTCTATGTTGAACTTTTTTCAACAGTTTTATTGGCAAGTAATTTACATATCATATCATTCAATAGTTCAATCATTCAATCAAGGAGAATTATACAATCATCCCCACTTCAATTTAAGACCATCCCCACCCAGTCCACCCCAATGGTTAAATCACCTCCAAGATGAGTTATGCAATCACAGTCCGTTCTAGTCCTTCCGACCCATTATTTACTCCCAGAATCCTCTTCGCCTCCCCATCATCCACCCCCTACCCCTAAGTTCCCTACACCCCTTTTATCAGTTATTATCATGATGCACTCACTCCTCCCATGCTTCACAGCTGGGAAATCCATATGTTTAAGTTTTTGCTGAACCATCAAACTGTTCTCCACAGCAGTTAGACGCTTCTACGTTCATACTGCAATGCATAAATACATGTATCTTCAACAACCCTTGTTAGTTTTCTTTTAAAAATACCATAATAGCCGTCTTAAAGGGTGAGACAGAGCATTTCATTGTGGTTTCGACTTGCACTTCTCTAGTGATGAATGATGTGGAGGATCCTTGTGTGTGTTTACTGGCTGTTTGCAGAAATGTCTATCTCGGATTTTTGCCCATGTTTTCTTTGGGTTGTTTATATTCTTTTCATGTATTCATTGTAGGTGCTTTTTAT